GCGTTAGCCACAGCCGCGGACAATTCCAACGATTCCAACTAAGGCTGATCCCTTCACCCAACTAGAAAAGTAGATCTGCTTCTCTAGGCGCGCTCCTAACCCAAGATAGCAAAGCAAAGACAACGTACCTCTTTCCCCCTCGCCATTTTGCAACCTTAACTACGTATAGACGTATAGGCAGCGCGCCTCCCCCGCTTTTCGGTTTCCGTTTGAATTACGCATGCGCGCGCGCGTGCACGTGTACTCGCCCTCTCTTCCTTCTTCCCCTCTCCCTCCCTCCTTTTCCCTCTCCCCCCTCCCTTTCCCTCTTCCACCTCCTCTCCCCCGCCCCTCCCCCTCTCTCTTCAGCTCAACCAAACCGTTGCCAATATTGCCGCAAACACGCATGTGCGCCTTCACTCTCCCTCCCAACCGCTGTGCCAACATGAGGCAACTTTGCTTTCTTAAAGGCGCATGCTTGTCTTTTTTCCTTTACGACCCTTCACCTCCCATCCTCCCTCTCTCCCCGCTACTGGTGCCTCTTCTCCTCCTGTCCGGCTTTCCAAATACAGGAACCTTGAGCGCCGCCACTCCGCGCCATGCCTCCCAAACCAGCCTTTCAAATAACATGTGAACCGCGCCTGTCAGCCCCTATTCTCTCCTCTCCCGTTCCCAACTCTCTGTATGCTGTATGTGTGTGTGTATTTAAGTGTGTGTATCTGGGCGTGTTTCGTGCCACATTACCCCAGTGCCCAAGGAGAGCCATCCCTAATGCGAATACTGTGATAAACTAAGGGAACTGAGTATAGAAAAGGCACTGCAGGTGATCGTAGCAGATAAATCCTGATCTGAATGGAATTCACCCCCGCCCGAAAGGAGGGGTTAGGGTACCGGTGGGTTCACGTAGTTGTGACGCGCCAACCTGAACAAAGGCAGAGGAAGCGCTCGTAAACCATCGGATAAACCTAATACCAAAGTCTCGCCCTCTAAATACACGTGCTACAAAGAAGGAATCCCAAATTTCTTAAACAGGAAACGCTATGGAAAGTTATACCAATGCTGAGGCGCCTCAACCGTTGTTAGAAGAATCTGCATCCCTTTCACTGTGAGAAATGCTCAAAATCCGTTCCGAAGCCAGTACTGGCCCCCATTTTTTTCCTCCCGTGAATCGACAGAATGTACAAATTAAAGATTTCCCCGGTCCGAGTTCCCTCCGCCGCCCCGCACGTTACGTTATTCCACTATACTGTTCCTTTACCTCCTCGCTGAATCAAGCGTTGAAACAATTCTTAAAAGCCGACCGTCTCAAAACAGGGTGAAGAGAGCAGCGGAAGAGAGAGACGCTTGGATGGCAGCAGCAGGCCTGAGCAACAGCTGACAGCAGGCAGGGGACAAGCTGTGCCTGCAGCCACAGCACCAACGGCAGAGAAGGGGAGCCTCTTCCAGAACTCCGCAGTGTGCTTCCGGCGCATGCGCTGCGCAGGGTCCTGGCCCTGAGCTGCTCAGAGACTAACCTTTAGCGGTCAACAAGCTTCCTTCCACCCCTTTCCCCGGACCCAGGTCTGTAGCCCACCCTGCCTCTTCCACCACTCCCATCCCTTTAGTCAAACAGGTCTTCACCGTCATCCATCCTTCTGCTCATCCTTCTGTCAATCCCTCTCCCAGTCTTAACCCACACTGCCATTGCAAAGTCTCCTTATTGGCTTCCTTTATTCCCTGTTATCTTTAGTGGCCTACCCTCCAATTCTTGGCCTTCCCTGCCAATCTGGTTCTCTTACTCCTCTCCTTCTGTGCCTAAAGTTGAAAGTAGTGGGGGGAAAAGAATTGGGAAAGAATGTTAAAAAATAATAATAAAGGGGCCTGCTGGTGGTGTGGAGATTAAGACACTAGAATCCCACGTGGCAAACCGTGATTCGAGTCCCACACCTAGTGGCTTGCTCTCTAACTTTCCCTTACTCTCTCTGTTTCTCTTTTAAAGTCAAAAAATAGTAATAGGGGCCGGCAGGTGGCATGGTGGTTAGGGGCGTTGGACTCCCACATGGTCGACTGTGGTTCAAGTCCCAGACCTGGCGGCTTGCCTTCTCACATCCCTCTCTCACTCTGTCTCTCTCCAGTCAAAGCAAATAAATAAATAAAGTCAAATAAAATAATTATTTTTTAAAAAATAATAAATAAAATTAAATAATTAATTGTTTTAAATTAATTAACAATAATTGTTACACAGGGCAAGTGTGCATTCCCAAAAATCTCAACAGGAGGATGACAGAGAAGGAATGGCAAAGTGGTCATCCTGCCCGGGTTGGGGGTGATTTCTCATTATTTCACTATTCAAGAGGCTCTGAAATAGATTCCCCTTGGGATGTGATGAGGGGAGAATACAAAATAATATTTTGTTTCTTTTTAGGATATTTCATTTTGATTTCTGGTTCTTTTTGGTTTATAGGAAAGCCAATTTGGAAATATCAAAACCTGAGACAAACAAACCCTAAATCCTAAGACAATAAACTTGTACATCAATATCTTCTCTCGTTTGTTAAGAATGTCATGGGACCAGCAGTTAGCGTAATGGAAAATAATATTTTGTTTCTTTTTAGGATATTTCATTTTGATTTCTGGTTCTTTTTGGTTTATAGGAAAGCCAATTTGGAAATATCAAAACCTGAGACAAACAAACCCTAAATCCTAAGACAATAAACTTGTACATCAATATCTTCTCTCGTTTGTTAAGAATGTCATGGGACCAGCAGTTAGCGTAATGGCTATGTTGCTGGATTCCCACGTAGTCGACTCCGGTTTGAGTCCCAGACCCCGTGAC